GCCCGACTAGAGTACTACAAGACTAATAATGAAAACTATTAATGGAATTATATTAGGTTGTCCCAAAAGTTCGTGGACATTTTTTGAATCTCGTATCAGATCTTTCGCATTTCGAGATCCAGTTATGTGGTCTATGGGAAGTGTGTTAGGTAAGCATCCCACAGCTTCTTCACCGTCCCTCGCAGTCGCTGTTCTCATATGAAAAACGGTAATTGAAATTCATCATTTTCGACACACTTCGCTATATGAATCTCTACCAAGCCACAACGTGGTTGGAGCCACAAGCGGCATTTCCCTGATTTAGGTCTTGGACCTTACCTTCCACAGTACGGCGTTTAATGGACCCAATGCTTCCGCTTTAGTGACTTCTATCTGGGTGAAAAACTTCGTCCAAGGAGGCCACCTGCCTTGGATTTGGACCTACTGTGTTCCTTGATTAAAACCAATTCGTACAAATCAACTTGCTATCTAGTCCTTACACTTGACTGGTCCCAAAGCACAAATGAGAGAGGGCCTCGCTCCCTTAGAAAAGTTCTGAAGTTCGGTCAAAATTTTTCTCATGAGTTGACCAGTACTCCAAGGGGAGCACATGTGGGTACTGTCTACAACTTCTCTCCCGCTTCCGCTGTACGGACTGGTTGAACAGCACTGTAACTGGATATGGAGTGGGTGCCTCTAGGTGAATCACTCCCGGAGCGCCAGCGGCTAGATCCCCCAGAAAGGGCAGAACCGATCGCGCAATCCTATCAATCCAGTAGGGCGGTGAGACTGTGTATGTGGTGGGGTTTCTTTCTCCCTTCCAAAACGGAATTTCTTCCTTCCAACGCTGTGGTAACCAGGGAACCCTATTGTAATCAACTGCAAAGGGGGGGGGGTTGAAAATCTCTACCATTTGGTCCCAAAACAACGTTTGCCCAGCTCAGGGTCACACATTTGGAAAACGACACTGCTCGAGATCCCGAAGCTTAGCTGGGGAATTCCACCAGTCTTCGTGTAGCCCTGACTTAGCTCTTTCCGATCGCCATCTAAACTAATCCCACAGCGGCCATCTTCTGGGTAAAAAAATACGATTTTTGATAGTACCTCAAAAATGACCCAGCTGCCTTTCTGGGCACAGAACCAAGAGGCTTCTGGAAGCAGGGCAACCACACATTGCGTAGTGATTGGCAACAAGTTGCCAATGAAGGTGACATATATATAGCTGATCAAAATTGCTTCCCACTGGAATAAACTTAATTCGAAAAAAGTTTGAAAGTGTCCCAGAACTTTTGGGACAACCTAATATATCACTAACCACGATAACATAATACAACTTCAAACTTCAAAACAAACCTTGAGAAAATCTTCCTGTCTCACTCGCAGCTCCGATGGAATCGGTTGCCCCCACGCGTCCTTCAAGCAAGGAAGCCGGAACGATCTTTAATGGTTTATATAGCGTTACTACGTTTTTAGTCATCATATTAAGCAGAAAATCGCAACCAGTCATGCACGTGTTGAAGGTTTAGAGTCAACGATGCCGGATCTTTGATACTACTTTTGAACAAGTGTTACTATATTGGCAGACGCCCCTCCCTGAACACAAATATCGCATCTGCTTGGGTTGAAATCATATGGCGCCCGGGTTACAGGCGGCGGCACCACAAGCCTTTTTCGATTCCGGCGCAGGTAGCACGGACTCCAGGCAGTCCCGTGCCAAGCAAAGTGCTAAGGCACTTATGGAACGCAACAAGTGAAGGCAGAACCCTTTCTCGTTGCCTGAAATAGACATATTTCCTAACGTTCAGACTCAGCCCTAACAGAGGAAAAGATCACTATTTTGAGGGAAGGGTGTAGACGAGCAGAGGGCCGCGCTGCCACAGTTCCCCCCCCCCCCCATCCCCCTTACCTCATTTTAAACTCCCGTTGCATCCCATGCAGATAAGATATTCGTGTTCAGGTGGCCAAACTAATGCGTGGAGGCCAGTTCCCAAACAAATGGAGCAATAAAAGAGTAAATATTGCACAAAATTGTTGAAGGAGCATTTCTATATCTTCGAGCTAGTCAATGAAGCATAACTTGTATAAAATCGAGTAAAAAGAAGTCGCGAGCGTGAAATGTGAAGCTGAGGGGGAAGTGAGTAAAAACAGAGTGTAAATAAAAAAGCGGGGTAAGGGTGAGTAAGACTGTACTTGATAACATTTCAAAATATTGATAAAAAGCCAAAGTGAATAAAACAGGGGAAGCTCCGAATCAACGAAAAAACAATGGATTTCAAAAGAAACTGCTCTACAGTATCCACATTATCAGGACCATGCTTGAGCGAACCCAAAAGCTACATCGAAATAGGTGTCGAGTTTCTGAGACATTGACGAGGCACGTCGCACCACTATGTTTGCCGAGATATGCTCCGCAGGTATCTATGTGTATTTACCTTTGCACACCCTTGCCACTACGGCTCACTCTCAACTATTACAGACCAACCCTATCAATCCACTCATATTACATTAAAGACACCGCGTTAGATGGCAAAATGACCAAATGAAGATAAGGAT